GCTGAAACAGGGGCCACCCTTTTACCCGATTGCCCAAGTTTATTCTGGAAAGTGCAGCTGTTTGGAAGTCTCCAGACAGGGAGGACAAGAAGTCCCTCCTCAGTGGTCCTCAGGAGTAGCCACACTGCTGTGGGCTGCACCCTCACCCAGAGGCTTCCGCTGCCGCCTGACTGATCTTTGTCCTCTCCTGCCTGTTGTCTGAAAACAACCATTCCATGTGTTCCCAGGTTATTTTACTGTTGAAGTCAGGAGGATCAATCAAGTCCCTGTTCCTCTGTGAAGCCAGAAGTGGAAGTCAGCAATGCAGTTTTGTCATCACACTGTTAGTGTGGACACTTGTAGTGACACATCTGTGAGCAGTCCCTGCCCTTTCTGTTGCAATGGCAATTCCAACCCTTGGTGGTGGCAGCACCCTGGGACAACCTGGACCTGGGGATTGAGACCCACAGGTGGAATTCCCAGACCGTCCATCCAAGGTGGCTGCGTGATAATGGGGGGACTGCGATGTGTGGGAGTGGTAGGCTGTCCCCGCGGCTGCGCCCTGTCTTAGGAAAAGGTTCGGCAGCTTTCCTCCTGCCCCAGGCCCACGTCACTGTGACACCGTAGGGCCCCCAGGAGACACAGCCTGGACAGCCTCTTCCTGGCTGAGGACAGCAGTCACAAGAGGGGTTTTGGGGACTGGAGCCCTCGGTCTGAAGACGCCTCAGGGTCTTCCCAGGGCAGCTAGGAGCGAGGCCCGAAGTGGGGCTGGGCCGCACTTCCCCTGCGTTCGGCTCAGGGAGGTGCTCCGCGACGGCCGCAGGACCCAGGACCTGGCCAGGCACTCCTGCTCCGACGCCCAGCTGCCTGGGGAGCGCCCAGCAGTGGCAGCCGTGCCAAGTATGGCCGCGGCCGGCCCGCAGCCAGCGCCCCAGTGGACGCCAGCGGCTCTGCGCCTGGGTCCCTTGAGGCAGCTGAACTCCGTGAGTGCGCCCTGCGCCGCCTGGCCTCCTTCCACCTGCCTAAACGGCTGGGGCCCTTCACCCAGCACCTCGTCCGCTCCTCCCGTGCAGTCTTGCCTTCACTGCACTTGGGGTCATTTGTATTATTCAGGAGAAAGGGCCGCGCAGTAACTTGAACAATTTACATCTTTAAAGAACTGTTAACTCTAGTAGAAATGGAATAAGTGGAGGAACTATAAAGAATATAGGACCGGGGGGACGGCGGTGCGCGCCTGGGATTCTAGCATCTCAGAAGGCTGAGGCAGGAGGATTCCAAGTTAGAGGCCTATGCTGGTGGTGCACACCTGTAATGCACACTAAACTTCCATCTCGATAGAGTCACTTGTATTTCCTAGAATCCTAAACAACTGAAACCATAGGCATTGTGTTAGCCAGCTTTTCACCACTGTGACAAAACACCCGAGACTATCAGCTTATAAAGAGGAAAGGTTTATTTGGCTAATGGTTCCCGAGGGTTCAGTGCATGGTCACCAGGCTCTGTGCTCTGAGCTGTGGCAGCACAACTCATTATAGAGAGACCTTCCCCGATGCTGTCCTTCTTTCTGAGCCCTTTGGTCCACTCCAGGATTAACTGAGCCCCCTTCTGTATTCACACTTTCCAACGGGACTGATTTTTTACAAATTAATATACAACAAACACGTAAATTGAAATACACATACAATATGTCAACCTAGATAATAATCAACAGGGTATTCCTGGGCTGGGCTGGGGCTCAGTGGTAGAGCACATGCAAGGTACTGGGTTCAATCCTCACATAAAAATAAATAAGGTACAACTTAAAAAAAAAAAAGAAAGCAAAGGAAAAAAGAAAGATATCCCTTAAAGAACATGGGTACTTTAGTGACAGAATAGCCTCTCAGTAGGAACATGCCTGCGCATGCCGTATAAACTGAGCACAGCCAAGAGCAGAGGCACAGGGGCACTGAGGGTGAAATGAGGGCTGCATAAGCAGTTTTGAAATAGTCCTCCCTGTGGTGAGGATTCACACAGGGGGGTGGGCGCCTGCTTTCTCTCTTTCCCTTTCTTTCTGCACTTAACTACTGAGCCACCTCCCCAGCCTTATTTATTGTTGTGACAGGGTCTCTTCAAGCTGCTAAAGCTGGTCTTGAACTTTTTTTTTAATAAATATTTTTATTTATAGTTGGACACAAGACCTTTATTTTATTTATCTTTATGTGGCGCTGAGGACCAAACCCAGTGCCTCACACGTGCTAGGCAAGTGCTTCCCCACTGAGCCCCCGCCTCAACCTTGAACTCTTGATCCTCCAGCCTCAGTCTCCCCAGATGCTGGGACTTTAGGCCTGTGCCAAGGCTCCTCTCTCCCTCTCTCTCTTCCTGCAGGGGATGGAACCCAGCCCTGTGCACTCTCAGCAGGTGCTTTACCACTGAGGTACGAGCACTCCCAGGCGAAGGCTGAACAGACAGCTGCCAAGCAGACGTCTGTGTGAGGTTTCCTAGGTAAGCTCCTGTGGGGGTTACCATCAGGCAGTGAGTGTGAGAGAACCTCCCCTTCCTGAGACTTGCGGTACCACTTCCAGCTGCCTGGCTCCTTCCCTCGGTGGTGCTTAGCATTCACACACAGGGACCATACCCACTCTCATGACTTCTAAGGAACACTAATGACCCCAGATCACTACCTTGAACCCAAAGCCCACCTCATATTCAATACCTTACAGGAGGCACCCTTGACCTTCTTACGCTGGTCTATACTCAGGACTGCATGCAGTTAAGTCAGATCATGTCGTTGGCTCAAAATTTTCTGATGAGTTCTTATCTCAGATTGAAAAAAAAAAACAGAGTCCTTCGAATGGGCAGAAGATCCAACATGATCTGATGTTCCAGAACTCTACCACTGAGCTACTTCTCTGACCCTTTTTTAGATGGGATCTCACTAAGTTGCCCAGAGTGGCCTGGCTCCGCCTCCTGAGTAGCTGATCTATAGATGTGCACCACAATGCCCAGCCCATTGCCTTTTTAATGTTTCAATCAGTTGAACTTCTTAAAAAATATTTTAGTTGTAGATAGTCACAACACCTTTATTTTATTTCTTGGGGTATCAGAGATCGAACTCAGGAGCCACTAAGCCACATCCCAGCCCTGTTTTGTATTTTATTTAGAGACAGGGTCTCACTGAGTTAGTGCCTTGCCTTTGCTGAGGCTGAACTTGCAATCCTCCTGCCTCAGCCTCCTGAGCTGCTGGGATTAAGGCATGTGCTACCATGCCCAGCTTATTTATTTTTATGTGGTGGTGAGGAATGAACCCAGTGCCTTATAAATGCTAGGCAAGCACTCTACCACAGAGCTACAACCCTAGCCACTCAGTCGAGCTTTTATACTGTCGGACCACAGTGAAATATTAGAGTTTTATGTAACCCAGTAGAGTAAGATCATGTCAGATGATGTTTTCAGCTTTACATTACTGGGGACCCATAGCATTTTCTCCCTTCATTTGCAATGTTGCCTCTGAAACCTATTTGAGCTCAGTAATCAGATTTAAATGTACCTATATTATACGATGTTGTGTAATGTATTATTTTCTGTTCACCAAAGTGGACAGAAAATCTCCTTTTGACAACTCCCTTTGTGGGAAACCAGTTACTAATCAGCAAGTCTGCATGAGTCAGTATCTTTGTGAAATATATTGCATCCAAATTCTTTCATGGCATATCAATAGTTGGTTAATTTGGGAATACTCATTTAGAAACATTGAGTATAACTGAGTGGAAACATCACTAAATGTCACATGTTTTTGCTGGGCAGAAGAGAGCACGTTTATTCAAGAAAATTTAGTTACTTATTTCTTACTGCACTGTGACCCAAACACTCATTTTGCTTATAGTTTGTCAAAATAACACCACCTGTGTCAAAAAGACAAAATTAAATTTAAAGATCTTAATTTTGTGAGTGTGTGTGTGTGTGAGAGAGAGAGCTTCTAGAATTGAACAATACTTTATTCCGTGAACTACAATGAGCATTCTGATGGGGGGAGCAGAGCAGGCCAGTTCTATGGACTGAAAAGGCTGAAGCAAACAGAAACAAAAAGAACTGGCCAGGGAGACAGAACAACGGAAAAATAACCAACTGCTCAGCACCAAACTACTTCAGTGCTGGGACGGGACCCAGGGCCTCAGGCATGCTGGGCAAGTGCTCTGCCACCAAACTTTTAAAAGTTTATATTTTGAGCTGGGTGTGGTGGCACATGCTTGTAATCCCAGTGGCTTGGGAGGCAGAGGCAGGAGGACCACAAGCTCAAAGCCAGCTTCAGCAACTTGGTGAGGCCCTAAGCAACTCAGTAAGACCCTGTCTCTAAATGTCTCAATGGTTGTGTGCCCCTGGGTTCAATCCCCATACTAAACATACATAAATAAATAATTTTACATTTTTAGACAGGTCTAAGTTGCTGAGGTTGGCCTCAAGAACCTGTGATCCTCCTGCTTCAGCCTTCCTAGTAGCTGGGTTTGCAGACATGTGCCACTGGATTCAGAAACTTTTTTTAAAATAAGGATTAAAACAGAAGGAACTTCATTATTATGCCAACTGAAAATGGCCTGTTTGGGAAATTTGTTACTTCTTTCTCCTGCTTTTCAGGTCAGATAATTTCAGTTTGGTGACATGGAACTTTAATATGCATGACCTCATTTTGATTTTAATCAGGTATGTTGGTGAAACCAGAGTTTTGATATGAAATTGGATTCTCTGTTCCGTTGGCAGTTGGGGCATGCACAGCTGCAGCTCTTAATGGTGGACCATGCCCTCCAGTACTGCAGCTGACCCCAGCAGCTCACCATCAACTTCTTTCTGGGTTCTTGTCTGGTGAATTTGGAGAATGAAATCCCTACCCCAGGATAAGTGAGTTTAAGAACAGGGTTTAGGGGCTGGGGATGTGGCTCAAGCGGTAGAGCGCTTGCCTGGCATGCGTGCGGCCCGGGTTCAATCCTCAGCACCACACACAAACAAAGATGTTGTATCCGCCGAAAAACTAATAAATAAATAAATAATTAAAAAAACAAAAAAAAAGAACAGGGTTTATTAAGATTAGAAATAGGTAAGTACATGTAGGAAGACACGAATGATGTGAAAATACTTTGTATACAATCAGTGACTTGAAAAATTGTGCTCTATATGTGTAATATGAAACGAATTGCATTCTGCCACCGTGTATAACAAATTAGTGTAAAATAATTGAATAAAAAACAACTTTGAAAAGTTAAAAAAAAAATTAGAAACAGGAACTCAACTCTTGTAATGCAAGAGGGCACCGGATAGCAGGTGTTCTCCATCCAAGTGTAGAGTCTAGGGGTTTACCTAGCACTTGCTTCACTGCTGTTGGTCCAAATTTATGCTAATGAAAGTTTGGAAACGTACCAACCCTATTAGTCAATTCCTGAGTATCAACTTTCATTCAAGTCTGCTTTACCTCAATTTGGGGGGAGACGGGTCAGAAATTGGGAGGTTAAGGTCATCAGATGCTTCTGCTGTGGGCATCCCGGCGAGTACCCAGGCAGGGCGCCTGGATGACGGGTTGCCCTCTGTGCACACCATGCCTGCTGGGAGCCCCACGTGTCGGCTGGCCAGTGCGGGCCACAACGTGGCCATCACTTTGCTGCCGCTCCTTGGCAGGGACCACTACGCCGGCTTCCGGTCCAAGAGCTTCACTAGCAGGCAGACAAGGGCCAAAGCCACCGCTCGTGGGTTCTACTCAACATCCTGCTGCAAGGTGACAGGGCAACAACCCCAGTGAGGCAGCAGCACCACTGCCCTTTCTCACTGCTAGAAACCGGCCATGGCAGCTCCGCAGGGTGTCATCCAGACGGGTCTGCTAGACGCGGCGGCAGACAGCCTTCCGTGCCTGCTTTCCCAATACCTATCGGCGAGGAGGCGTGGGCGTAAGCTCTCCGTTATCCCTGGGATGGTCCCTTCCCCGCCCCTGCCACGCACTGGGATCCCACTAGGACACGCGGACGCGGGTGCAGCCCCGGAGGTGAGGAGGGGACGGGAAAGGTGCGGCTGGACGCCGTCACGACCCTAAGGAGAGCCCTACCTGAACCACGGAGCTCTCAGTGCCGGACAGCGGGGTCCTAACGGACCTCGAATGAGGACGAGCACCGAGCCCCACCCCGAGTGGAGCGGGGAAGGCCGGCTCCGCGGGGCGCTCTCCGCCCACGGTCGCCAACCACCGCTCCGGCGCGGCGCCGCCCCCTGGTCTTTCGCCCTCCCTGCCCATCGCCCGGGACCCTAGCCCGGTTCCGCCGCAGCCTCGCGCCGGCTGGCGCCAAGACACGGACTGCGGTGAGCGGCACCCGGGAGGCCAGCGCCGCGCAGCGCCCGTCCCAGCCGGGGCGTCGCCGGAAGTGACGCGCGTGCGTGGCGTGTGCGCCGGGAGGGCGGGGCCGGCGGCCGGGGGCGGGGCGTGCGCGGGCAGAGCGCACCTCCGGGAGCGGCGCGGGCGGCGGCGGTGCGAACGGCGGCGGCCGCCAAGCAGGTAGGCGCGGGTTGCGGTCGTCGGTTCGCGCCGCGGGTGGGTCGCCCGGGCCGGGCCGTGGGTTCCGTCTCGCCGCTCGGGGCTCGGCCGGGGCGCCGCTGCCGGGTCGAGGCGGGCCCGGGCCTCGCCGCCTCCGGAGCGCTGCCCAGCGCCGGCGACCAAGGCCCGAGCCGCGGGGCTGCGGAGGGGGCGCGTGGCTCCCGGGCGGGCTGCGTCCACCGGCCTCCGTCCACCGGCCTCCGCTGGCCCCCGCCGGTCCCCCGGGGCCGCTCGGAGTCCCTCCCGGAGTCGCGGAGCCGCCCAAGTTTGCGGGCAGCGGCTGGTCCCGCACCGCCCTGCCTGACGCCGCCGCGGCGCCGGGCGACCGTGCGGCTGCCCCGGAGGAACGGCGTTGGCAGGCCCGGGCGGGCTCTCGGTCGGCCGGTCCCCCGTGCGGGTGTCGCCAGCTTCTCTCCAAGTTCCTCAAACGGGGATGGGCCTTGCCGCCCTCCCCGCTCTCTGAGCCCCGTCCTCGCCGGGCTTCGTGAGGGTCCGTGGAGCGCGGCCGGCTAGGGGGCGGGACGGCGCCGCGGCCGGGGCCGTGTTCAGTGGGAAAAGTGGGAGGAAGGGAGAGGGACAGTGAGGGAGAGGGAGAGAGAAATGGGGAGAGGGAGAGAGGGAGGACGGGAGAGAGGGCCAGAGGGAGAGGGAGAGAGAGGGGGACAGAGAAGGAGAGGGACAGAGAGAGATGGAGAGGGAGAGATGGAGAGAGGGACAGGGGAGAGGGAGAGAGGAATGGAGAGAGGGAGAGAGAAGGGAACAGAGAGGGAGAGAGAGGAGAGAGGGACAGAGAGAGATGGATAGGGAGAGAGAGGGACAGAGATGAAGAGAGGGAGGGAGAGAGGGACAGAGATGGAGAGGGGGGACAGAGAGGGAGATGCAGAGAGGGAGGGAGAGGAGTAGAGAGAGGGAGGAAGAGAGATGGAGAAAGAGAAGGAAATGGAGAGGAAAGGGAGATGGAGCAGGTAGAGAGGGAGATGGAGAGGGAGGGAGGGAGAGGGAAAGAGAGATGGAGAGAGGGAGGGAGAGAGGAAGAGGGAGAGGGGGAGAGTGAGGGAGATGGAGGGGGAGAGAGGGAGGAAGGGAGAGGGAGAGAGATGGAGAGGGAGGGGGAGACAGGGAGAGAGGAAGAGGGAGAGGGAGATGGAAGGGGGGGAGAGAGGGAAGGAGGGAGGGGGAGAGAGAAAGGGAGGGAGGGAGAGATGGATGAAAGGAGGGAGAGGGAGGGAGAGAGGGAGATGGGGGGAAAGATGAAGATGGAGGGAGATGGAGAGAAAGAGAGAGGGAGGGAGAGGGACAAGGGGCACAGAGTAGGGAGAGAAGGAGAGAGAGAGATGGTCCTGGGGATCAGATCCAGGGCTTGGCTTGGCAAGTGCTCTACCACTTAGCTACATTCAGTTGCCCAGTCTAGTTTCCAGCTTGTGATATTCCTGCTTCAGCTTCCTAGGTAGTTGGAATTACAGGTATGAGAAAAGTTTTCAATCAATATGAAGAGCTAAGATCCTATCTTCATTTATGTATGTCAGTCTTTGGCTATAGACGTAGAATTGCAGTCTTCACTGTGTGAGTTTAATTTCTGGCACATGTGTTTTTATTGGCTGTAAAATAAGCATCTCCAGCAGAGATGATCCATTCCTAGGATGTAGGGGAGCTACCTATGTAACCTAACACTGGTGACTCAGAGTACAAATGCTACTAAGTGGTTTTTAGATGATCAATAAAGTTGTCACACAAAAAACAAGGCTTTCACGGTGGAGACCAAGCATTTTGCAAGTCTTATTAGATGCTCGTCTGTATTATGAAGCACTTCAGAAAATTATGTGGTATTTCACATGGCTGAAACGCCCTGAATAATCTAGACCGCTGTTAAATATGAGAAGCAACAAGAGCTGACCTGTCTTTATCCCTCAGAATATTATTTAACTAGTGTTTTGTTTGATGTTTGGACAAAGCTCCTAAAATGCTTTTTAAAAAAAGGCTTGTACTTTCATGATGCTGTTTCACCTTCTCTGTGAGATTCCTGGTTGGTTGGTTTTGATATCTGGGATTGAACTCAAGGGCGCTTAGTCACTGAACCACATCCCTGGTCCTTTTTAAATATTTTATTTAGAGACAGGGTCTCACTAAGTTGCTTAGGGCTTCACTGAATTCTGAGGCTGGCTTGAACTCACAATCCTCCTGCCTTAGCCTCCCAAGCTGCTGGGATTATAGGCATGTGCCACCATGCCCCGTGAGATTCCTGTGTTCGATGACGATGAAGTTACTGCCAAAGGGGTAGGAAATATAACTTTTATTTTATAATAGAACACTTTTTACTTATTTCTGGTAGCACAGTTCGCTCATTTGTGGTCACTAGGAGGACCAGTGACCATGATTATGATCAACTAATAACTTGTAGCTAAAGGTCAGGAGTTTTAATCAGAATGATAAGCATATATACATTCATGAATAGATAAAATATTACATACTGAAGGAATCTTGCGTTTTTTTCTTTAAAAAAAAGTTGTGTGTGTGTATGGAACTGGGGATGGAACTCAGGGTCTTTCAAATGCTACACAAGTGCTCTACCTCTGAGCTGCATCTCCAGCTCTGCATCTTAAGCTTTTTAAAATTTACTCCAAATGGCTGTAAGGAGATTGTTGAATCCCTGAGCCTGGACTCTAAATTTTTTGCTGCCTCACTCACTAAGGGTGGTAGCATCCTCTGTGCTAGGTATGAGCAAAGCAGAAGAAATTGTACAAACATTTTTTGAGGGCTAGGGTTGTATAGCTCAGTGGTAGAGCACTGGCCTAGCATGTATAAGGCACTGAGTTTGATCCTCAGCACCATACAAAAATAAAGGTATTGTGTCTATCTACAACTAAAAAATATCTTATTTACTTTTTTTTTTTTTTTTTTTGTGGCAAGGTATCATTCTGTTGCCCAGGCTGACCTTAAACTTGTGATTTTCCTGCCTTAGCTTCCTGAATAGCTGGGATTACAGGAAATGCTGCAGCACCCAGCTTTATAAACCACTTCTTTTTTTCTTTTAAATTGGTACCAGGGATTGAACCCCTGGGGGTGCTTAACCACTGGGCCATATCATCAGTCCTTTTTATTTTTTGTTTTGAGGAAGGGTATCACTGTATTGCTTAGGGCCTCAGTAAATTGTTGAGACTGGCTTTGACATTGTGTACCTCCTGCTTCAGCCTCCTGAGCCGATGGGATTACAGGCATATACCACCATGCCAGGTTTATGAACCACATTTGAAGCTAGCTTGTTCCATTCTCATTCAAAATAAGTACTCAATTTTAATTACATTTATGATGATTTTTGTCTATTTAAAAGTTAAGAATGGTTTTGGGGGCATTTTTACGTAAGGATGTAGCTACAGTTTTTTGTGTATTAAGTTAAAATGCCTAATGTGAGGGCTGGGGTTGTGACTCAGTGGTAGAGTGCTTACCTAGCACACTTGAGGCACTGGGTTCAATTCCCTGCACCACATAAAAATAAACAAACAAACAAAATAAAGATATTAAAAAATGACACCATGTTTTATTTATTTAATTTATTTTTCTGGTTTTATACAAAGTATATTCACACTAATTTATGTCTTCATATATGTACTTTGGATAATGATGTCCATCACATTTCACCATCATTTAAAAAAATGCATAATGTGAAAGTTTTTATTTTTGTAGTTTATAATAGTTATTCATTTTCTAATTTTAGACATAACATTTGCTAAAGTAGTTTTTTTTTCCTTTAGAAAGCACTTTGGAGCACATTTTAAAAATGCCTTTAGAACTCATAAAATGTTTATTGATGGAAAACAATGTCTTCTTATGCTGTAATTTTTCTAAGTGGAACTTATCACTTCTACAACATCTTGTTCCAGAAAGGATTCAGAATGACTACAAGGGTATGTACAGCATACTGTTGGTGATGGACAGACAGCTGGGTGATACATTCAAGGCTGAGGGGAAGGTATGGTGGAGTGGAGAGTGAGCTCTGCGTCCAAGGTACTGGGACTGAAACCCTGCTTCCTAATAGTTCACAGAGAAACAGTCATTAAGTGGTTCAGTGACCAAGAGGGAAGAGATGCCCATTTCTCCTTCGGGTTCCCAAAGGAGAATAGCCCGGAAACTCTTCAGCTGCATTCTCAGCAACGTAGCCCATGCCCCCAAGGGCTGTGTTGCATTTTAGTAAACTCTGCTTTACCTCATTGTCCGTGTTGGTGACATGATATCAAAATGTAATTCAGTGAGAGCAGTTCTGTGTGGCAAAATAATGGGATCCATTGTGTTTAGATCTAGAGATTGCTGAAGGATCTGGTTTAGACTACCTAGATAACGAGGTGTGCAGCACTCTTTTCAGACTACTGTCCATAAATATATTGTTTCCCAGTGGCGCTTCTATCATGAATTTATCAGTAGTGGGGCCTGAGTTGGTGCTTCCTGACAGTTCCTTGAGTACATCTTTTTACGTTGTTAGTGGATCACAAAGCCATGGTTTATTATGCATTATCACCAGGGTTGTGGGAGGTGGAATGGAAGAGGCTGAAAGGATGTGTTTTTGAATGGAAGCCATCTCAAGTCCAGAGAGATGGGCTGAGGGAGTACTCAACAAGAGACCTAAAACTCATTTCTAGAAATAGGCCCGGGGATGTTAGCTCTAGCACAGAGCGCATTGGTGTGGAAAGCCTAGGGTCCTATCATTAAGATGGGAACAGATTTATCCATCTTAAAGGAAACACAAGGCATTGGGTTTGTGTTTGCTCTGACTGAGGAGCTAGCTGCCTTTCAGGTGACGATAGTTCAAGTTTGTAGAATGCTGGCGTCACTCATTCTTACTCAGTGAACAGCGGGTGGGACAGTCCCTGCCTAAACCTAGCTATGGAACCTTGTGATTCCTTAATTGCATTTCCATAGAGCTCTTCACATTTTTTTTTTTAATGTGTTCCTGAAAAAGAGCTGGGCTT